GCCGAGCAAGGGTAACGCCAACGGTGCGGCCGTCCCCGGTGCCTCTGAGCAGGCTACTGCCATCAAGGCGATCCGTGAGGCCGTCGGTGGCGACTCCGTCTTCTTCTCGTACGCCAACGACCTGTGGAAGAGCCCCGGTGAGTACGACGTCGAGCAGTACTGGGGCTGCATTGACCAGTTCTAAGCATCTGGAGCTGGATCTGTACAGTTAAAGGCCATGTGTTGATTTGATTTGGCTTGGAGTTTCCCTTTTTCTTCCTTTTCTCGTGGGTCCATCGTTGCGGGTGCATGACATACGATCGGACTGTCAAACTTTTTCCCTTCTTCGTAACACTTGGACCAATTTGTAGTAGATATCATTTTCTTTCTGCCTGACTTCTGATCAATGTGTCTACTCACCGGGTGCATCCGCCTTTCTTCCGATTCAGAGTTGTATATGCTAATTTTATTACGGATTCACGATGAAAATACGTCGGACGACGCGCGTAGAGATTTGCTGTAGGGGTAGATATGGGGACTGAAGCAAGTTGACAAATCCGTTGTTTTGTGGATTGGGTCCTGAGAAGCTTGGACGAAGAGCTCGCTTCTGTGGGTGTGGCGTTCTGTGCTGCAGCGATCGTACGATGACATGCTTCTTGGTCCAAATGCATGCATCAGTTTGACCGAGACTCCATCATGACGACCCTGGATTTCTGGGTGGAAGTATGCAAGGGACTCGATCAAATGATCAACGATCAATGATCAATGATCAATGCTTGGGAGGGGTTTGTGCATCCACGCTGATGTTGCGGTCAGAGACAACCTGCTGACTAACCCGAGTCCTGCCCAGCACAGCACAACCGCAAGGACAAAAGTACTTCCTGTAGGACTGTACACACAGTCACTACTATAGTAGTCATTAGGTGAATTCGGAAAAAGGGAAACAACCAAACAGAAGAAAGAAAGGAATCCTTCCCTGAATAATGTTCAAGAAAGGCAGTACCATCTGCAGTGGATGGGATTTAGCCGACGATCCTTCTTCCTACGAGTACTGCAACCTATAGGCAAGTAAGTACAGTACGGAGTATCCCCCCCCCCACCACCATGTGACAGCCCCGATGCACGTTCGCTTTCCATCCACTGCAGTCCGTTCCCCTCATTCCCCCATTCAGCCATTCCGTATTATTATTCCACTTCATCTTACCAAGTTGGTCTTCCTGCACTTCCACTTCCACTTCCACTTCCACTTCTGCTTCCTCTTCCTCTTCCTCTTCCTTTTTCCTTTTATTACATTTGCATTTGCATTTGCATTTGCCTACCTTTTTCCAATGGAATGACATTCGAAGGCTTCTGCACATCGGATTTCTATTTCTTTCCCCGTCTCCCTCCGATCCTTCTCTTTGCTTTTTCTTGCAACTCTGGGCTTGGGCTGCCTGTCTCGCTTGAATTCTTTCCCCCTCCCCCTCCCCCGTCCCCCCCCCGGTCGCTCGCCTGTAGCCGGGGTTGTGTGTCGCCATCCATCCTTCAAACCACCGCGTGTGATTGAAGTGGCGTATCACCTGTCAACAATTTAAACTGCAGCCCTGCCCCTCCTAATCGGGCCTATTTGCTCATATCTCCTCATATCTACTAGATCGAGGCAAAGAGGCGCGTCTGTCTCATTTTGCCTACCCGCTCTCCGGCTCCGCCTCGCATCGTCCTCATTGACCGTGATCGCGAACCGTGTCCGTCCCCTCCGTGTGGGGGAGGAGGGAGTTGTGCTGCGGGGTGAAGCAACCCAAATCGGCTGCAGAGCCAAGATAGCTCCCCGGGTGTGATTGCGATCGCAAAAAAGACAACGTGGACGACATCCCTTCGACCTGGTCCGTGGCTGTACTGTACCACCCGCCCCAGTGCCAATCAGCACTTCCCGTGCCGTTTCGGCTGCTTATCAGGCAGTCAGTTCGCTCGCCACCAGTTGGTCCAGTTCAGTTGGTGGCCCGAAAAGTGAGCGGTCGCCAGTCCCGTCGCCAACCGAATCACTCCGCTGCATCTGATGACCGGAATGCCTGGTCAGGTTGGGCCCGACTCTCCTTCTGTCTCGTCCAGCTCGTCCATCCGTGCAGCTGGTTCCTACTCTGACCCTTCACCACGCAATGTCTCCAGATTCTCACCCCAATATCTCAGCTTGTCACCACCCGTTGCCCGTGAAGACGTGATGCCGCCGCCACCACCGGGTGAGGGTCACCCGCCGGGCGCATCCGCAGACGCCGTCGCAGCCCCCGAGCCTAGTCTTGACATGAGCGACCCAAGCTTATCGGCCTTCATGGCCGTTCCGCAATATCCTAATGCCCCGAGCGACGCTGCCCCTGTCGCGGTGACGGAAATCGTCAACGCCGTGATGGAGCCGCAGGAATTCACCCACTACGGTCATGGTCGTGGAGCCGACCAAGCGACCCTTCGCCTCGCCTCGTCCTCTCCCCCGGGAGAGTGGTATGTCTCCGATTCGGAGATGACTGATGCGCTCTCGGACGTTGGTGGCGTACCACTGGGACCGTACATGGGCGATTATGACGATACCCCCGGCGCAGAGTATGCGCATGATATCGCCTCGACCATCTCCGATATCACCGACGACGATGAGACGACCGACCTGATCATGGATTACGAATCTTCGATCGCGGCGGAACGACTCCCCGCCCTGTCCGGGTTGGATGATGACCCCGATGACACCTACAAATTCTACATGGACGATGGCGATGAAGAATCCGACTTCGAGGATGCTGAGGCGCGGGTCCGTCGCAGCACTGCAGCTCTGTCGGAAGTGGACTTTGCTGGATTCTATCAAGGATTGGATGCAGGCTACGCGCCGCAATTTTCAGATATTGGGCCCGGCCCTGCTCACGACGACTTAAATGCTTCATTCTCTGAGGGAGATGACTCAAGCGGCGTCGAAGCGCCGAATGAGCAGCATGTCGCGGACCCACTCACCGGGATGGGTAAGATTTCCCCTGTGTCCTGCGTTATCTATGGATCTCTAAACAGCCCTCACAGTGAAAGAACGGAACTTGACGATCGACCAATTTATTGGACAATGGCTTTGCCAGTCGTATACCGCTGCAATCACTGGGTTTACCATGGGCCCTGCCCCTCTGTCCCGCAGTGCTGTCGCTAGTCTGCTTTCGTGGATGCCGCCGGCCAAAATCGTCCGGCCGGCCGGGTATCGATGGGACTTCTTTGATATCCAGCAGATCCCCTGGAAGGAAGCTCTGCAGGTGAAACGGTCCTATGCACGGAGTTTGCGAGACCAGTCGTATACGTCCTATCATAATCTGGAGTACTCGCGCCAACGGCCGGGCGCGCGACTGGCACGGGACGAAACCTATTTTCGCGAAAAGGCCATGTACACGGAACACAAAGCCAGCATCGAGCATTTTCAGCTGCGGAACCTGATGTCTGCGGCGGCGTATAACACGGTGCACTTTGCGCACGAGTGTAAGGTCTACTCGTGGGTTCCCGCGTACGATGATCTGCGGTGCATGATCGATCTATCCAAACCGACCGTGGAGTCCGGCCTGCAGGGGCCGTTGAAGATCTCAACGATGCGATCGGCGCACGATATCACGATCGCGGGCGGGTTCGCAGGGGAATACGCTTTACGGGCCATGGGCACGGATGGGCCAGGGATCGCGGGGTACGTTACGCAAGATCCGAGCGGCATTACGAATCACGTCGACATCGTTCCGAGTCGCAGCAGTGGATCGCCGCTGGGGGTCTTTGCGTCGAACGACCGGCATCTCCGCGTTCTGGATTGCGAGACCAACACGTTTGTCGCGGACTACGAGCTCTCGCGCGCCATCAACTGCACGGCGACGGCGCCGGATGGGCGGCTACGGGCGGTAATTGGCGACTCGCCGGATGCGTGGGTGGTCGAGGCGGACAGTGGGCGTCCGGTGCATCCCCTGCGGGGCCACCGCGACTTTGGGTTTGCCTGCGCGTGGTCGCCCGACATGCGCCATATCGCGACGAGCAACCAAGACAAGACGGCGATCATCTGGGACGTGCGGATGTGGCGCATGCTGCAGAAGATCGAGTCGGACGTGGCCGGATACCGGTCGGTGCGATTCTCGCCGGTTGGAGGCGGGTCGCGGACGCTACTGCTGTGCGAGCCGGCGGACCGGATCACGATCGTCAACGCGCAGACGTACCAGAGCCGGCAGGTGCACGACTTCTTCGGGGAGATTGGTGGGGCGGACTATTCGCCGGACGGCAGCACGATCTGGGTGGCCAACACGGACGAGCATTTCGGGGGGTTCATGCAGTACGAACGACGGCAATGGGGCCAGCGGTATGGGCCGCAGGGGCTGCCGAATGAATGGGTGCGGGACGGGGAGCTGGATGAGGACGAGCGCTGTGTTCTGAGTGAGCGCGAGCGCCAGCAGCGGGTTCTGTGGAACCTGACGGACGAGGAGCATGAGGCGTTGATATTGTGACTGTTGAGGGTAGGGTCATGATTTATGTGATTTTGCATTGTTTAGCGGAGATACCATTGAATTGTATACGCGTGGATACCGACTACTCAAAACATAACCATATTCAGTGGGCATGTATAGTATGTATGTAGCCGAATTGCATCATAGTGCATGAGCAGAACACAAAATGGCATGGCATACGTAGGAGTCGTAGGGAATCCCTTGGCCGAATACGAGTGGTGGCACGGGTTTGGTTGAGTGGCAGAGTGGCGTGGCGTGGCTGAGGAAGGTTGGAATGAAGAGTGGATCCGCGCCTAGGCGATGCGCCGGCGATGCAGTGCGCCCGACGATTCGACCCCGCCGATCTACACCGCTTCAGCCACACGGCCCACAACTGAGTGACCGTGACTGGGACTGCCCCTCATTACGTACGTAAATAAACCCGCGACCACCACCACCACCCTTCGTCATTCCCCTTTTCTTCTCTCTTCTTTCTTCTCCTTTTTTTGTATCTTCTGCCACTCATCTTGTATCTTCTGACATTTACCTTCACACTCACATTCCCACCCCAAGGTACTGTGAGTTACACACAAACAGTCACAGTCGCAACCATGTCCTTCTCCAACTTCATCTCCTCGGCCATCGAGCAGGCCGCCAGCAACTACGCTGGTGGGAACAGCGGCAACAACAGCAACAACAACAACAACAGCGGGAACTCCCACCACGGTCAGGGTCAGGGTCAGGGTAGTTCCTACGGGGGTGAGCAGCAGGGTGGCTATGGTGGTGAGCAGAGCTACGGCTCCCAGGGCGGTTACGGCGGTGGTGGTTCCCAGGGCGGTTACGGCGGCGAGCAGGGCGGCTACCAGCAGCATCAGCAGCACCACCAGGGCGGATACAGCGAGGGTGGCTCCTATGGTGGCAACCAGGGCGGTTACGGCGGTCCCCAGGGCGGCTCCTACGGCGGTGAACAAAGCTATGGTTCCCAGGGCGGCAACTCCTCCTCCTACGGCGGTGGCTACAGCGGCAACGAAGGCAGCTACGGCCACAACCCGCCCTCGCACAACCCCAGCTACGGCAACGCCCCGTCCTACGGCGGCGGCAGCAGACCCAGCTACGACGACCTCTCCTCGGCCACCAACCACGCCGAATCGCACAGCGCGGGCACGGGCTCATCGGACCTCTTCCAGAAGGCGCTGGGCTACATCACCAACCGCCATTCCTCCTCTTCTGGCAACGATGACGATGACGACATCGACGAGTCCCAGATGGTGCAGTCCCACCAGGCCGTGTACAACTCCAACGAGGGCCAGCAGCACGACTCCAAGACCCTGGGCGCTGGGGCCGCCATGCAGGCGCTGAAGATGTTTACTTCTGGTGGTTCTGGCTCGAGTGGGTCCGGGTCCGGCGGACAGAGTGAGTTCATTGGGCTGGCGATGGCGCAGGCGAGTAAGCTTTGGGAGGAGAAGAGTTCGAGTGGGCAGGCTGTAAGTCTTTTGTCTCCTCATCTGGGGGGGGGGGGAGTGGAGGGGCCAATATTGGTGTACTGGACGCGTGCTAATCTTGTGTTTGGGATAGTCCGGCGACAAGCAATCCGCTATCAACCAGGCCGCGGAGATGGCGTTGAAGATGTATATGAAGAGTCAGGGGAGCGGATCGAGTGGTACTGGTGGTCCGGCGGGGTTGTTGAGCTTGGCGAGTAAGTTCTTGTAAGGTAGCGTGCCGCTTTTTCTGGTGGTTGGGGTTGAGATTGAGATCAGGGGGTGGGGTGCAGTAACTTACTGCTTGCAGCGTGGTGAGCATGGATGCAGGTGCGGTTGCGGCTTGTGTTCTGATGCGTTAGGCACGTACAGATGCTCGTTAGTGGATCGTGTAAATTGAATCGAACTCGGTAGGGAGTTTGTTTATACCTCGGATCACCCCCGGCGTGTCTGCTTTGTATTGGGTTTCGAGTATTTATGACTTTCTCGTAACGACGAAAAGCATGCTTATCTAGGAAATTATACCTAGTTAAAGGGATCGGAAAATGGTTTTCGGAGTTTTTCTTCCCCCTCCCCACCCTGGCAAGTCCGGTAGCAGATGTCTATTCCATCAAAGATATGTAGACAGAGTTTAGTGATGATCGGGTAGGGAAGGGGGCACCCAAGGCAGCCTGGAACCGGGTCGAGTAGTTTACGAGTCTCCATGGTTAGGGGCCGGGCTGTTGGGGGGGAACGGGTGGGGTGAAGCCTGCTAGTTGAGCATCTATGATTGTAAAGTCATGTCATCTACTATATAGTTATTGCAACTTGACCTCAGAAAATAGGGATCATAGTATATCAAACCCCACAGATCCAGGAACACTAACTGACTAGCTACGTCCCTGAAGTAGCATTGAACTGTACATATACAATATATCTATCGCATAGAAACCCACCAAGCACTGCTCTCGGCACCTCGACAGAGGGACGCGTGGGAATAGCACAGGCGGGCGTTGTATACCTATCTCTCTTTCTCATTATATTTCTGAATACTGTTCGTATCAAGGACCGGTGTATTATGTATATGCTCGGTGGGATGTATGCGAGGTCTACGTTACTATTTGCTCTCTACTATCATTTCTTTGTTTTTTGTCTTTTTGTTTCTTGCTCTCCGAGAATCACCACAACTATGATGGATGGGACTTGAGCGTTTCCACTCCCCCCGCCCCCTCCCCCTCCCGTGAATCTGATCTGGCAGTTGCTTCTTCTCTCTCTGACTCTTTTTGACAGGCAGTACCGTCGGATTGGGTTTGAGAATAGAACTGGCGAATGCCCATATGGGTGCTGAAGAAGCTTCCATCCTGGAAAAGAAAAAAGGTAAGGGCAAGGAGGGGGGTGGGGGCGGGAGGTTGGATGAAAACAACGTACACTCCTGAGGATCTGTACGGCGTCAAGAGTATTCTTGGAGAGATCTGGTAATCATGAAATAATGATGGGAAGTTCCCATGTATTCATAAGCGTAGAAGTTCAAGCTTGGGGCATGAGTTCAGCCCGGGGTGCTTTTCAACAATGATGAACCATCTTCAGGTGGTGTTGCAGTTATCCATTCCGTCCTGGAAATCGTCATGATACTAGCCGTCCAACTTTGAATATCAGGGAGTGATTATCACTGCACTAGGAAGATGGAGGTTAGAGGCGGATGGTATACACAATGCCATTTTGTATACAGTATACACGCTCTTTTCGGCCCATGCAAAGTTCTTTACTTGGAATCAAGAACATTGTCTGCCAAGCCAACCCCTTCATACCGTGCGCAAATCGCTTTGATAAGGTGCTGCGTCCAATTCACCTCTTTCTTTAACAAACCTTTTGTAAATCATCCATTGCCAGTCATACCAGTCCATGTCAGGTTTTATTTTTTCTCTATCGCTCCATGATCACTCCAAGCGAGAGGGTATGTATCTGGAACCGGGGAAAATACCGAGTTCCTGGATTTGCGCAACAGCCTCGCTTTGCAATGTCCAGAGGAGGGGGAGATTAATCGAGGAGAAGCTGCACAGCCAGCGTCAGAACCACAGCGAGAGCTGCCACCGACCCCGCGGCCCTTGTGCTTTCCGCGGCCCCCCCCCGTATACCCGACGTTCAGCGAGTTGTTGTTGAACCCGACAGTTCGCAGCCAAATCGGGGTGGCGGTGTCGTTGGCCAGGATGTCCGAATGGTAGGCATCCAGGACACCGGCGAAGCGCAACGTGAACTGCCCGTGGGTGGTTTCTCCCCCGGATCGTGACGTTCCGTTCGGATAGATCCGATAGCTGTCAAAGTACCCTTGGATTGTGTAGTTTGCCGTCTCGCCGTCGAAATCCAGACTGACCGTCATAGCCGGCCACTCGGACTCATAGACGAAGTTGTTGTCCGGGGCCCAGGGGCCCAGGTCGATCAGCCACGGAACTATCTCTGCACTGGTGCAGTTGGTCATGTTGGCTTGGAGGCCGCCCGCGCCATTATAGTATGTAGTGATGGTGCTCGAGAGACGGTAGGGTGGGCTCTGAGTAGTGCTCAGCGTCCACTCAAAGAGGTCAGTACCGTCCAAAAGGCCGGGGTACGTAGGTCTACCTCGCCCTAATTAGTCCTCTGTGGTACTCTATCTCGTGGTGATGAGGGAAAGGGTCAAAGACTCACTCAGAGGAAGCAAAGGTCCATTGCAAAGAGGGGAGATCATACAGTGGCCAGCCAAAGCTAGTGATTGTAGATAAGTCAAAGCCGGTGTCCCAGAGCATGAGGAAGGCGTTCACGGGGTCGCTGCTGTTGTTGAGTATGCTCGGCTCAGTAAGGGCGAGGATCGTGTCATATTGCACGGTGGTCGTAGTGTTGGCGAGCAACGGGCACTGGGTGCTGTCGTTCGCAGCCAAGCCCGTATAGGGCATCAATTTCAACTCGGTGGTCCCATTGTAGTACGAGCCCACCCAGTAATACGGGTCGTGAAGGAGTGTCACGTTATTGGGCCGGAAGGGCAGGGACACATTGTAGCTCGCATCATCGGCAGCGGTGGTGAGGAAGGGAAAGGCGAGGCTGAAGATTACAGCCTGAGCTGATACGGAGACACGCATTGTGCCTCCCTTGTGGAGGCTACTGGGCAGTTCGGGCCTCGGGTCAGTTATAAAGGTATTTCTCTTCCTTTAGTCAGGCAGTGCTTGGTCCAGTGGGGTCTTGAACTACTGTGGTAGCTTAGCCATGAACCAAGCCTTGCCGTTTAGTGCTGGTCTCGGCTATTTACCCGAGAAGGGCTCGGCGACTCCGGAATATCGACTTACTAGTTTTAGCATAACTATTCTAAATTATTCATTCTCCGAAGATGGCATCTATGGCCTATATATACTGTCATCCGACTCGGTCAAATATGTTGGGTAGAGTATTCAGGAAGCCAGAGGCAGGGTTAGGCCGGCTTTTGTCCATTTGTACTGAGTATGCCGGACGTCCGTCTTCTCAACGATTTGTTTAGCATTCCCTCGTCACGAATCGGCCTAAAGTAGTCCAATGGAGCAGTCCGTTACTGATGGATTGTCAATGGATCGTTCCTATCACTGCGGTCAAGTAAAATATCTACACGCAAAGGTCAGTCCGGAAACAGAAATCAGAGCCGATATCGGGTCCTATATATCCCCGTTGACACCCACTCAACGCCCAATAAAATTGCAGAGTCGTAACAGTTACCTAATCTGAAGATCTTGTCGACTCTGACCCCTGAGGCTCCTTTGTTATGATTCAGGGACCGGAAGAAGGGTCTGAAGATTCCAACCCTTGACCCTTGCTTCAAACTCATCGCTGCATGGCTATGCCAATGTCTCACACACCGCAATACAAGCTATTCAATGTTTACATTAGATTCAACGGACTGCGAGATCCTGCTGAATGTCTCAGATCGACCACAAAATATCCGCCATAAGCTTTCGCCGACGCCAGCTATGAATGACAGTAGTCCCACACAAGGTTACTAAATAGAACTGAAATTGTTCTTAGACCGATCCCTGGTCTGACGGGCTAGTGAGACTAACCCCTAGTAGAATTGCATCGGAACTCACTTCTATGGCCAGAAGCTGTGCAATGCTTAGCATGGCCGCGCCTGTGAACCTTGGGTCTCACGGTCGTGAGGAAGTAGAGGTGCTGAGCCCAGGCATCCCATATTTAGAGAGTGATACTCAGCACCACCTCGTGGTGTTCAAACGCAAGTGAGGCAACAAGGATCCTGTCTGGTCCCTGAGTCCCCTGATTCCTGCGATGGTGGTGCATGAACCCTGCAAAGATTCGCAAGATCGATCCCAGAGTGGAACAGCCGGATAGAACCTCGAAGCTGACGTATGCCTCTAACTGGACCAGGCAATTAAGCAGCAGATCACCTAGTTTGGGAGGAAAGTTCCCAATTGGGTTTAGACTCGGACTAAGGTTAAAGTATTGCAGCCATAGGGCCCGCTTATTTATTGAGTACTAACTACACCTACTCAGTGGTAGTATATCACCGACCCATTGACTAAGGAATAGGGTACCATTAAATTTGCTGGTGCCTCTTCTGTTTTGCTCGGAACCTGATCCTGTCTACCAATTCACTTCTATCAGATGGGTCAGCAATTTCCGAATTGCTTCTTTCCCCTTCCCCTTTCTCCACAAAGACACTTTTCGTACGCCGATTTCAGTCTTGATATCGAGCAGGTACTACCCTAGTAGAGTATTAACAGAGCTCTTTGTAACGGACCCGTGCTCGGTTAATGGCGACGTTCGAAGATGCAAGATAGACTGAATGTCGCCTTATGTATATCACACAAATGCTCCAGCATCGCCGTTCATTGTTTATGCCAGAAAGAAAGAACCTCCCAAAACATGATATGAAATTTGATTGCTTGTCTCTTACTTACTATATCTCAACGTAAGCAGCACATCGTGAGCCTGCGCCTAAAAGGCCCCAGAGGATCACTGTTCTTCCAAGTGCATTTTATGCTAAGACAGAGGGAGCTTAGTTGTACATTGTCCGTGTCCACATAGCTCGCAGTGAACCAGACATTTGAGTGTGAAAAAGCTCACTTACAGCATAGCCATGCTCTAGATTGCAATAGTTCGATATCGTGAGAGCAGACCAGGCACCATGTAAGCGAGTTTCTGTGTATATAAAGGGCGTTGCTCTGTCAGTCTTGGGGTCTACCACAACAATTCACCTCTCAGTCACTCATTTATCTCTACCTTCAGCCATTATTTCCTCCTTACCTTTCAATCATTCCCTCTAACAGACTGTATTTACAAATTCATAATGCTTTTGGTTCAAATCTAACACCTTTCTCTATTTCTTCTTTCTTATTCCACGAGCGCCATGTATGTGCCTGCCTTGTTGGCAGCAGGCGCCCTTGCTAGTGCAGCTACAGCAAGCACCACTTCTTGTCCGGAGGCTTGCTCCTTGAGCACCAATCTTTTTGAATGGGTCCCCTACCATTCAGTCAGTCGAGTCACTACTTGCAGCCAGCCCCATGCTGCTCGACTTTGCAATTTACAACCCGTTGAATGATTCCCAGACTCATTCAACCATCTATGCCTGCATCACGGAAGAGGAAGATACTTCCACCTCTTCTGTAGCGAAGAGGACCGCAGTTGCGGTGAATGCTACTTCGACTGTGTCCTCTGTGAACTTTGAACTGGGTACCTGGGGATCTGCCGTCGACTCGGCCGACGACCAGCTCCAGGGGGCTCTGACTGATCTGGAAGCATACATGGAGTCTGACACGGACAGAAACTTCATGTTTGCGTATTCCGGGCAGGCTGTAGTTGGAATCTATATTGGGGGCAGATATGACCCTTCTACCATCGCTGCTACCGTAGCGGAGTTGATGCGTTCCTCTATTTCCTCCGAGGGGCTGTTCAACCAAATGGCCCTACAGTCCTGTGGATCTACCGCCAACTATATGGTTGGACTGGCCATCAATCTGGACGGAGACCTGCCTGCGGTGCAGCAACTGGTGAAGACGTGGAGCGAGGCAGGCTGTGTCACGGGGTTTGAATCCAACTCCAACACTAACCTGACCGCCACGCTGACCACTGTTGCTCCGCTCCTCTTCAATTCCTCCAACTCCGGGACGCTCACTGCTCGCGACGATACCTGCTCTACCGTGCAGGTGGTTTCGGGACATTCCTGTACAAGCTTGGTCACAGAATGCGGCATCACCTCCGCGGAATTCTACGAGTACAACACCGCTTCCGACCTTTGTTCCACCCTGGCAGTTGGTCAGTACGTATGCTGTTCCTCGGGCGACCTACCAGACTATTCGCCCCAGCCATACAGCAATGGCACCTGCTACACGTACCTGGTGGAGTCGGGAACTCGTGCTCCACGATTGCTGCATCGAACAGCCTGACCGTCGATGATATCGACTCATTCAACAACCACACTTGGGGATGGCTGGGGTGTGATGACCTTCAGGCGGGAGAAAACATCTGTTTGAGTAGCGGGGATCCTCCCTTCCCTGCCCCAGTGACGGGCGCCACCTGTGGCCCTCAGGTGCCTGGTACTACGGCCAATGGCACCGACTATGACGAGTGGGCGACGCTGAATCCCTGCTCGCTCAACGCTTGTTGTGATGTCTGGGGCGAGTGTGGCACCACGCCCGAGTTCTGTACTATCACCGAGTCCACCACAGGCGCTCCAGGTACTGCGGAAGCCGACGCGAATGGATGCATCTCGAACTGTGGCCTCGATATTGTCGATAATTCCACGGCGCCCGACGAGTTTTTTGCAATTGGCTACTTCGAGGCCTTCAACGTCGAGCGCAGCTGTCTCACGATGGATGCCAACATGATTGACACCAGCAAGTATACTCACATTATCTTCGCCTTTCGAACCATTAACTCCGACTATTCCATCAGCATTAATCAGACCGACCAGTTTGAGCAGTTCCTCAACCTCACGGACGTCAAGAAAGTCGTCTCTTTTGGAGGGTGGGATTTCTCTACATCCAGCGACACGTACACGATCTTCCGAGAGGGCGTGACCTCCACGAACCGCGCTCTCTTGGCACAAAATATCGGGGACTTTGTGTCTCAGTATGACATTGACGGGGTGGACTTTGACTGGGAGTATCCTGGAGAGCCTGATATTCCGGGAATCCCCGCCGGCAGCAACGAGGATGGCACGAACTATGTGGCATTCTTGAAGGAAGTCCGCTCGGCCTTTGGCACGGATAAGACCCTGTCGATTGCGATGCCCGCCTCGTACTGGTATCTTCGCGGCTTTTCCGTCGCGGATATCAACGATATCGTCGATTTCATTGTGTACATGACGTATGATCTCCATGGGCAGTGGGATTACGGAAACACTTCGGCCGATGATGGCTGTGCGGACGGCAACTGCCTGCGCTCTCACGTGAATCTGACGGAGACAACTTATGCCCTGTCCATGGTGACCAAAGCTGGGGCGGACTCCAACAAGCTGATGGTCGGAGTGAGCAGCTACGGCCGGTCCATCGAGATGACCACTGCGAACTGCACTGGTCCGGAGTGCACCTACGTGGGTCCGGACTCAGGGGCCACGCCCGGCCGCTGCACCCAAACCGCGGGCTACATCGCGAACGCCGAGATCAACGAGATCATCGCCACCAATCCCACCGTGCAGGTGCTCTTCGACAGCGGCAGTGACTCTGACATCATCGTTTACAATGAGACGCAGTGGGTCGGCTATATGACCAACACCACTAAGAGCACACGGACCTCCTACTACCAGGGGTTGAACATGGGTGGCACGACTGAATGGGCTATCGATCTCGAGGCTTTTGTCACTTCGCCTACTGATGCCACAGCCTTTGGCGAGTGCCTGGTGGAGCTCAAGGCCGAGATCGACGACGATGATACTGAGTTCGTCTCCATGAACCTGACTTGCTCCGACCCCAGCTCCAGCGAGAGCAGCCTGCAAGCCAGTGAGGAACGAGGGGTGGCTGCGTATGTCAACTGGCTGGTGGAGGATATTTACAAGTCGCGTATGTATTCCGTTTCCTATCCGTGGAGTCGAAGTGGCTAACTCTCTGATGCAGCATATGAATGGACTCGCAGGATGTTCGAAAGCACGGGAGCGGGGTCCACCCAGTGTGACCTCTACCCGGACGGAGAATGCCCCTTCCCCACAGGATTTTGCTCGGACTACAATGTGTCGGCGGAATACTGGGCTGAATTCGTGGTGGCTAACGCGCACCAGTACATCACCGAATTCGGGACCCTGTTCGACTTTGCGACACAGAACGAGTCGCTGAGCATCGATGCCATCGTGGACGACTTCCCCGTCAAATCGGGCGCCACGGTGCCCGACTGGGCAACAATTCTCACCAACGTCGGTGGCGTCATGGGCATCCTGGGGAGCGCCATCCCGGCGCTGGAGGCGGAAACAGACACGGCGTCGACGATCATGAGGGCGCTGAGTGGGATCTTCTCACTGGCGGGCTCCGACGTCTCTAGCGCCGACGCGACGGACGCCGAGACAATCACGCTGGAGGCGGCGGTGCAAACACTTTACAGTAGCATGTACCAGAGCGTGGTCAACACGACGATCGTGCTCTTTGAGAGCGGCGACATCTCCTCTTGGCCTTCCTGCGGACCTGCGCTCGGGCGACTACACCTTCGAAGTCGCCAATTATCTCAATGGGCGGTACATGTTCGAGCTCACGGGCACGCAAGGCGTCTAAGATTGAGTCGATCTTCAACAGCTATCTACGCCAGTACCTGGTGGGCACTGCGCTAGTTTCGGCGAATTACTACATCCTGAAGGGAGCGTACTCGACGAGCAAGTGCGCCTCGATCACCAGTGGCACCGTCATCGGCGACTACTGCTACACCCTCGAGTACCCCGGCGCCGGGTGGGAACTGGCCAAGCAGATCATGACCGACCCGATCAGTAGCGATGACCTGATCAAGCTGACGGACACCTACGGCATCGACCTTGAGACCTTGTACTCCAACTCCTACACCTGCTAGAACACCACGGGCACCTACAGCGGCATCGTCGAGATGGACGTTCTGACCGCCTCCTTCACCGTGCCCACCTGCTTCTTCAACCTGCCCGTTTTCACGGTGGAGACCTCCGATGAGCCCACCATCAACAACTTCCTCTCCTCGCCCTGTCTCGTGTGGGGTCGCAACACCACCGCCAAGACCGCCGAGCTGGGCGTCACCTGGATGCCGAGCACCCTGGCCGATGTGTTTGTGCGGGACTTCTGTGAGTGCAATGCCTCGGGGAGGGAATGCTCGGAGGTGTAGGTCAGCTTACTAGGGTGTATCTATCCTTTGTGAAAGACTCGGGCTTGTCCCCCCCCCCCTTGGAGAAGGTTGTATCAAAAGTTTCAATCTAACATGAGATTCGATTTATAATCAAATTTATCATATACATCCCAAATAACAATGTGTATCCAGCAAGGCCCTTTCTTACAGGCTTTGCCTTCATCCTAGAGCAGTGATAATTGGTTCTGATATTTCCAGGATTAGCTGACCGAGGTAAACGGATCAGGAGCTTAAGGGGAGAATTCGATGTGTTATCTTGAAATCACATGATCGTTCTTAGCCATCTACCATCTCAACATAAAGTACATTATATCCTAAAGATTAGGGCTCAACTCCGCTCCGCGGGGGTTCGGCCACGGCCACAACCACAACCACAACCACAACCACAACCGATTCCAGGGGTTTAAGGACTCAAGCGATCTCGAGAGGACTAGCCGTTTTCAGACGGTTTCCAATGCATCACTCAGTCTTAGGGAACAAAATTCTATCCCACCACAGACTGACTAACGAGCTTTTGAATTTAGCTCGGATCTCCCACTCCGTACGGCATAGTATGGTTAGTATCCTCACCCATCCTCCCGGGGCCAGTAGCGCAGGGAAAAGATTTAGGGGACCGCGGACCAGGACTGGGTAGATCTGGGTGGATCGCAATTGTTTCCTGGGTTGAGTTTAATGTTACTCATTGAATTAAGTTTCTCTACACGGGACTTTAGTATTAGTAAAGGAGTTGACTGTTGCAATGGAGCCTATAAAAGATGTCTTTCTTTGATCTAAGCCCTTGATCCATAGATTACATACTTGCGTAGTGTCTTCGGTGGCTACGGACAAGAACCGACAAGTCCCTGCCAAAGAGGTTTGTGAGCACGCCCCCACCCACCTACCTACCTACCTACCTGCCTGCCTGCCTTGCCAAAGCTCGTACGGCCTCATCTTCATGGCAAGTGAATCCTCAACCGACCTGACTTCTCTCCCAACTTCCTTCCAGAAGCGCGACACACGCCTGCCAGCCTCATTACCAGCGGAAATCCTCGTAGTCGTGGCCATATTCGCTGAGCGGCCATTTATGCCTCAGCGCCCCGTAACCGGCGGGAAGGAGACGCTGGCCCCGCGCTCGATCACCCGCAGCGACACCCCCAGCGTCCCGAACTCCTCCTGTAACCCACGCAGTCGGCCTTCCCAAGCAAGGTCCGGCTCAGGGGCCTTCTCCTCCCTCGATGGCGCCGCCACTCCTCGGCTGTGGCGCTCGTGGTGGACAAATTGACAAAAGAGGCGTTGCAGGGCTGGCAACCCGCGCTCCTCCCGGCGATACTGGAGTAAGTAGTAAGTATCAATCAGTCACAGCTACAGAGATTCTGAGAGCGCAAACAGGAACCTTCGCCGAGGGCAGTGGGGCAGGTGGGGCAGCTTGGGGTGCTCACAAGCATTTCTGACAGGATCTTGTCTGTCCTTGGCTACCGGGGACACTACGTCTGTAACTATTTATCTTAGGAAATCAACAGCTCCATTGCGAGATCCACTATGAGTACTCTTCGTATCTAGAGTGTATCCTATTGCCCCCCCCCCCCCCCCAGACTTGGATCCAGGAGCAGTTCGCAATCCAACCGGATCGGCCGGTCCTTCGAAATCCCTTAAACCTCCGCTCCGGCCCGGAAAACATCCAAGACCCTGATGGTTTGACGGTATGACTCGTAGATAAATTCGATTCTCCTTCACTCGCTACCGGATGACGCACAGGAACTATGAAAAGCTAGTCCCTCCTTAACGGTGGTTGGCCTCACCCACAACTTAGCCCTAGTACAGACAGACAACCACAAAACCGCTTTATGCTTACAATAATTTCCCGCCAATATCCAATGCATTGGCAATTTGTCTATTCAGCTGGCTTAATGTTTTCCCGGTGGATTTTCCAGCGGCAGGAGCTGCAGCATGATGGAGAGGCTGTGCTATGAACCTTTCGCCGTAGTCCGCAATGAGACCTTCAGCCCGGTGCTAACGTCGAGGGAAAAACGGCTTGTATCTATCTATTCTACAGGATGTGTAGTGTACCATCCGAGACCTAAACCGATAATCAGGCCAGCCTTGCGCAGGGTTGCCAAAGGGGTGAGGTGAGGAACAGAGGTTCAACGTGACAGATTCAGCAGACCCAATGTCCCCCAAACCTTGACAACGAAACGCAAAAGGTTTCCTGTCACCTCGGACAATCGCCTACCTGTTCTCTCTCGACTGTCATTATTTGTACCTATCTATTAATCCCGCTGCCAGAACTTCACCCACCCACCCTGGAAGATTCGAATCCAACGTCATCCCCTTTTGCCCCAAGTTCAGCCAAGTTTCGCTTCGCCGCCAAAGTTTTACCTTTCCTCTCACAGAAGGTTCCACGATGAGACTGTCTTCATTCTTTCCCCCTCGTCCTCCTCAGCGAGGCAGTCGGCCGTGTCTCAGGCAACAGCTGCCTGGAGCAGGGCGGTGTTCAGCGGCGCCCCGTTCTCGCTGGCTGCTGGCAGTGTGGTAGGGCTTGTTTGATACATATCATCCAAGGATGATCGTCTTCGACTGTCCGTCTCGCTGTACCCTACACTGGATGCGGAACACTTTCCCTAGGGAGAGCCAACCAGAAGAAAGGAGAGAAGAAATAACGATGGTCCGTGAAAACTATACTCCGGAATTGAGCAGAGTAGAGGAACAGTCAAGATCTGCGCCCACCGAGGTAAGTACATAGTACGTACTTGTACCGATTTGCCCCATAGCCCCAACCCCACATCAGGGCTCGGCAGGGTATCTGGTAGCCCACATCTTGAACCGATGATCCCTGGGCCATAAATGCTGTTATCTACAAGTACTGGCCGTCATTTTCTGCCCTTATTCTCTTCCAGCTCCTTTTGCGTGAAATGTCTGTACTGTACATCAAATGCGCCCCAAGTATGCTAGATCTGCAAGTCCACGTAACTAAGTAAGTAGGTCTGTCTTTTGTTTCTCTTGTTACCGTTGTTACCGTAAAAAAAAAAAAAAAAGTTTAATAAGAGAAAAACAATGGGAAAGAATATCCTGTAGTTAGTACTTCCCACGCGATCAGATCCCAAGTTTTCTCGAGATTAGAAACGGGCAAAGTAGCACGGCCTCACCTTCCCTCGAACCAAGTTTGCTAAAACTCGAGGCTCATAGGTATTTTGTACTTGTACAGTACCCAGGACACAGTACCGTACTCCGTTACCTGCAGCAGCAACAATCTTCTTTCACAAAAGCACCCTGTAGGATGTACCTTCTCAGTTTTCTGATTGGTACAATTACTATCTCCCACTGAACTGCTTTCCAACAAGACTTAGGGTCCTTGGAGGGAAGAGGAGGGGGGCGGACCTGGCTATCCAGGGTCCTGAGGGGTCCCGGAAGAGACATCCACGAGGAGGTGCGATAATGAGGTTTTCTTGATTCGATCCGTTAATTATAGTTCTCGCGCGACGGACTATATACAGTATATTCCTCTTATGCTAGGGCTGGGTGGTGCGAGGTTGGATGAAAAAGTGGTTTGCTTAGCACGCAGTCCCAAAGCTAACTATAAAAGTGTGGTTACCTAATAGAAGTACTACTCAAGAAGGCAAGGGGGTGGGTTTCCCGTCGTGGATTGTGTGCAAAGGAGCGAGCACGATCAGTACTCCAGACCGTAGCTTACTGGAGTCGGCGACTCGTGCCTTAACCTTCTTACATGCTTCCTCGTAGGTGTGGTAGGTGTACGAGCATCACCCGCATGAGCATGGTTCCTACACAAATCCGCAATCTGGCGTTCGTTCGGGTTATGTTCAGCCTTTTTTGAGTAGAGATAAATACTTGGTAGGATCATTCATACCGTGGGTGCTTTTTCTTCTTGCTAGCAAGATAATCGCATACAGTCATAATACAGTACAATAGTACATAGGCCTAGGAATCCAACCGCCGATCCACCCTACAACCTGACCACAAACGATGTAATACAAAAGGATATGATTTATTATGGTATAACCCACATTCCCGGCACCCACTTTCACAGTAATCATAACTCCATCCATTCCAAGCCTACGCTTTCTCCCCCACCTAATAAGAAGACACTGCGGCAAAAGAAGGGGGTTTACTCCCAAGAATCGATCTTCATCGTGCCCTTCTCCTGCAGATTCTGGTGCATCTTGAACGCCTGGAAGAGCAGGTGGGGCTCGTGCGCCATGCCCTTCTTGAGGCACTCGAACTCGGCCCGGTCCAGGTAGTCGGTGAGGATGGGCTTGTAGTCCGGGTGGGAGCACTTGTCGATGATGACGCGGGCGCGCTCGCGGGGGGAGAGGCCGCGGACGTCGGCGAGACCCTTGGCGTTTGTTAGTATCTTTCACCAGAATCACTGTGGAAGGTGTTGGGGGGGGGGAACGTACCTGCTCCGTGACGACAACATCCAGATCATGCTCCGTCTGGTCGATGTGCGTACAGAAGGGGACGATGCAGCTGACACCGGTGGGGTCGACCTTGCTGGGCCGGGTACTGGGGGTGTGCATAATACTGTACTTGCTGGACCGCAGGAAGTCGGCCGAGCCGCCGAGGCCGTTCAGCATGCGCGAGCCCATCACGCAGGTGCTGTTGGCGTGCGCGTAGATGTCCACCTCGACGGGGGTGTTCATGCCGATGCAGCCCAAGCGTCGGATGATCTCGGGCGAGTTGGAGACCTGCTGCGGGCGGAGGAGGAGCTTGCCCGCGTACCGCTCCCAGTTGTCGTAGAAGCGCTTGAAGCCGTCGGGCGAGAAGCGGATGGAGGTCGCCGTGGCGAAGTCGAGGTTGCCGCTGTCGAACAGATCCAGGAACGAGTCCTGCAGGACCTCGGTCCACACCTTCAGGTTGGTGAAGTCCGCGCCGCCCTTGCTGAGACCGCCGATGACCGCGTTGGCGATGTTGCCGATGCCCGACTGGATCGGGAGGAGGTTCTGCGGCAAGCGGCCGTGCTTGACCTCGTGCTTGAGGAACTCAATCAGGTTGCTGGCGATGGCCTGCGAGCCGGCGTCCTCGGGGGCGTTGGGCTGCGTCTGGTCCGGGTAGTCGGACTCAACGATGGCGACGACCTTCTCCGGGTCGACGGGGATGTGCGGGGTGCCGATGCGGTCCTCGGGCTGCATGATCAGGTAGGGTTTGCGGAGCGGGGGCTTGTCGGACATGACGATGTCGTGCAGACCCTCGAACGAGGGGCTGGCCGTGTTGACCTCGATAATGATCTTGTCGGCCATCTGGACGAACTCGGGGGAGGCGCCCACCGAGGCACCGGGGATGATGCCGCCGTCCTCCGTGATGGCCGAGGCCTCGATGACGGCCACGTCGAGCCGGTTCTTGGGCTTGTTGAGTGTGTACCAGCCCTACGTCTCGAGAATTAGTACAGGTTCCGCCGGAGACAGCCACCTCAACCCCATCGGAAGCAAGAAAGGGAGACCTACATAGACCAAATCCGACGGAAACATGCTCAGATGCTTATCAAAGAACTTGATATCCCCCGTGTTGATCCCCCTTGCGATCTCCTTTCCGACCTGATGGGGACTCCGCCGCTCGATCATGTTCAACCGCGCCCACCGGTTCTCCGTCTCGGCGCCGGAGGAGGCGCCCACGAACAGGCTGTATTTCAACTTGCCCTGGAGGTTGTTCTTCTCGACGTGGTCGGCCAGAGCCGTGGGGACTTTTCTGGAGGGCAATTAGCCTGGGGTCCGGGCGTGGAGCAAAATCACATCGCGCAGATCAAGGGTTCAACCGAGTGAGGGGGACTGGGGCAACGCACTTGGGATATCCAACACCCGTGAATCCGGACCAGCCGATGTACGATCCATGGGGGAAGAGGTCGATCAAGTCCTCGGCCTTGGCCAGCTTCTTGAGGTAGGAGGGTCGCCGGACACGGCTTTTTAGGAGGGCGGAGGCTGACATTGTGGGACTGGTTCAAGAGGAGGGGAGAGGAGAGGGGGGAGAGGAGAGGAGGGAGGAGAATGAAAGGAAGGGAGGGAAGACAATTGAGGGTGGGTGAGATGGGAGGAAAGAGAAGGAGAGGAAAAAAGAAAAAGAGAGGGAAATTTGACAAGAGAAAGAGAAAGAAAAAGGCCCAGCAAAAGAGGGGAGACGGTGGGATAGAAATACGGTCGAGCTGTTGCTGTCGCTGTCGCTGGAAAATCCACCCCCGCCTCGTTCCACTGCCCCGGTTGATTCGGGGATACGGAGTCAGACACTGCTCCATAATTGACACTAACTATCACTTACTATCTAGTTACCTAGAATGACTACAATACGGACATACGTACTACACTGTAACTAACGTGCTCTCACCCCGCAAATGATGAACATCCCCCAGTCCAGTCCAGTCCGGTCCAGTCCACCGTGGGTGATTATTACTCCGCGTCAGCTGTTGTGGAACCGGTTATCAGCTCAGCTCCAGCTTCAGCCCAGCTTCAGGGAAGCTCTCCAGTCCACACAGTTTTTCTAGACAATTCCTGCATAGATGGTCAATTGCTGGGGTCAAAGACACGCGAGATGACAAGCTGCAAGGTGGCCAGATGTACGAGTCGCTTCGGGGCGTTGAGGTCTTGTCGCAGAAGCTCAGTCCATGACTGGGGGCTGACGTCATCCCGGCGATATCTCGGCCCGCCGCCTTCCAGGCCTGGCCCTTTTCGGAGTCCTCAGCTCTGTTTGCATCTTCAACCTGTTCAGCTGGACTATTATGTCATATATATAGCATGGCAGACATAGCAATCTAGTCAAGGAGACTGAACACAACATAAATCATCCAAGGATTAAGTCAAGGTCAATGGAGCATTCCATCCCTGAAACCAACTCACCAGTGAATCCCGACGGATCTCCGATCGCCCCGAACTTGTCCCGGTCCAGCGACCGCGGCGGGCTAGTCTCGGGCTGTATCGGTTATCGCACCCTTGAACAGTCTCGGCCACACGGAGCTTTTGGGTTCCCCTGCATGGACGATCGGCAGCTTAACCAGCTTAGAAGCCAAATCATAGCCACCCGGTTAATAACAGCTGCCCGCGCGGGTATCTAGCTAGTACTGTGCACTGTATGTACACAGACGATCAAGTTAGCTGGATTCCTGAGGCATCACAGACCTACTTGCCAGCCGCACAAATAACATCAGAAACAGCAAAACTGAAGTCAAGCAAAGAGTATCCACTTCAATTGAATCTCAAAATCCACTCACCGAAGGAGACAAACAAGGAAAAACAATTCCTGGGGTCGTGGGGTGGCGCGGTGGTTGATCCTGAGGTTCCGGCCCCGGCTACAGGACCAGTAACAGCACGCCCGGTCAACCAAACTTACTATACTCTACTTATCCATGCCTGAGGCTCCAGTATACAAAGACTGGTCAGAGAAATATTCCTATTTGTACAATCATAGGTGAAATTTATGCGCTCATCATGGACCTGAACGCAAAACACCGATAGAGAAGTGAACCTGAAAAAAGAAAAAGAAAAAGAAAAAAAAAAAAAGGGAAAAGATGGCCAAGAAATCGCTGCTTCAAACATCCTCCTAGTTTTCCAAAGTCACGCCCACTGAACTGTTCAAATATGGATGAAAAGGCTGTCCACACAACCATGCCCTTCCTCGAAACTATAGGTACTTCATTCAAACGGCCAATAGCGCTCATACTCAGCCTTCTCCTCGTCAGTCTCAGCCAACTGCTCCAGGATCAAGCCTTTGACTTCGTCGAGGGCAGCTTTGCAATCATCGTATCGCTCGTGCTCGATGAAGCCCTTGTCCGGCCAGAGATCACCCGTACTCTCCTTAACTTCCGTCACAAGCTTGGTCTCTGCCACCGCACTATTGCTATCCATCTTGATCCGCTCGATGTCTGCCTCCAAAAAGTCGAACGGGAATGGGGTATTGGCGTCACCAACGGCAGGTAGGTCCGTCCACGTATCTTGGAGATCCACTAGAAGCGACTGGAAGAGCGCCTCGCCGTACTCGAACATTCGGTGGGTCAGAAATATCAGCCCGTACGCTGCCGTCCGTGTAAATTCGACTACCCGGTATAAGTCGGGGTTTTTGGTATGCATGAGTTTCCGCCATCGGATGAACACGTTTTGGATGGCGTACTCCTGGACAGCAGCTGATCGTTCTTCGGGCGAAAGCCCGGAGAAGTCTGGCCGGGGTGCCAGGTCCAGCGTTTCGGGCTTGAGGCCATCCCAGTCGAGGAAGCCGGGATCGGGATTGTGGTTGAAGAGGCGCGAGATGTGACAAGGGTGCCAGTCGATGATGCCCGTAATCTCTCCGGGATTGTGCGGGTCTACGAAGACGTTGTCATCGTGCAAATCATTATGCCAGGGGCAGGGTCTGGTGATGGCTGTATCTTTGGGGATAAGAGTATCAACGATTTGTTGGTACCATGCTAAAGCAGTAATCTTCTTTTCCGTGTCTGGTCGGTATAGCTTTGGGCCGCAGAATAGAACAATTGTTTTTAGGGGTTCCAGAGACTGGATTGCCTTCATCTCTCGTGTACCGACTGCTTGCAGATACTGCGTTAGAGAAGCTCCTGTAAACTGATCAGCGACTATAAAACAAGTGACGCAAACCACGACGTACATGGCCCCTTCTCAATGTCTAAAGCGAATCGGCCTGCATCACACCAGTCCCGGCCTGTAGCCGGGCAATGGCAAGCCCAGAATCCCTCACAGCCTGACCATCCTTGACAAAGTGGTTGCCTGCTGGTGGCTGCATGTCTTCCGTATAATACAGGCTGCCGTAGTACAAGAAGGAAACGCTCAGCCATTGCTTCTGGAGACGTGCCATAGCAAGAAGCACTTGGAGCTTCCGTGGTAATTTCATCGTGCTCCAGACTTGGGAGAGAGGAACGCCTCTAACTTTTTCCATGATGATAAACTCCGCGCCAACAGGGTGCGAGTTGGCTCGCGAGTACCCGAGGCGCTGGGGTGTCAAGAAATTTTCTAGCCTCCCCAAATCAGGGGAGTTAGCAAGACTTGAATGTTACTGGTGTTCAGGATGAACTTACAAAATCCATCGTGGCGACTTCACTAGCAGTAGTAAAGTGCAGAAGGCCAGCAGTCGGGTTGGGAATCTTGGCTACAACTTCTTGACCGTCATCCATGGACATGAGAAACGCTTTGTTGAACATGCCGTCAGGGTACTTCTTATTAGCAATGCATCGCGCGGCTCACACCGACTGTGCTGCGACTCTTGCGAGGCTATTCAAGTCGAATCTGAGCTCTCGCTTTCGAGCATTCTCTGCCTCATCAACAATGAAGCGGCCACGAGTGAACTTGAAGAAATCAATGTCAGGATTCCAGTCTGAGACGAATAAGTGATATGCTAAATCGCGCTCTAATGGGCGTGCGTACCTATCTGAGAAGCTTCCAAGTCCCTGCTAACAAGGCAGTGATAGTAGGACGAAGGTGAAGCTTTGAAGATTGTGCGGCAGTGGCTTTTCGGGTTTGTTGTTATACTCTGAATGTAGCCCCTGGGTCGCGCGGATAGGGATCGGCGCATTGTTCAACGAAATGTATAGTACGTAATGCCTTAATCTTGCCAGCCACCCTGAAAATCAGGTAGCTCACGGTCATGCAAACATCAGCATCGAGGAATCAAGGTGTAGGAAGGACCAATTGAGGGTATGCTTCCTCGCTGCACGAAATGAGAGAATGACAATGCAGGTGTCGTGGAGGAAGATTGAGAAGTGGCCGTAGTGTGGCATTCCAACCTGTCAAGGGAAGGCTGGCATGGTCAGCGTGATCAGGCCACTGTGCCTTGCGTCGCGTTTCCATTGCCTCTTCACGGCCGCACAGCCGACACTTTTCCTGCGAATGCTATGTAAAACATCTTGGGGTGTGGGGTGTTGATTTAGTGGAGCTTTGGTGGGGATTTCACCCACCCAACTTAAAATCTTTTCCGAATCGTTTGCCCGACTGAGCTTAGCAGGCTCGGGCTACGGAGTACAGTGGGGACACATGCCACCTCTTAGATCTCAGTAGTTGATTCAGCAATACTATAGACTGATATCTACTACCTATTTCCTTGAGCAAGTAGTGGTACTGAAGACTACAATATCAGGCTACACCGTTTATAATATTACATACAGAAATGACCTACCGATACAAGTCTAAGAATCATGCTGGCAGAATCCGACTAAAAGGGTAGGCGGAACAGGAGCCGGACGAACTTCCGGCATACCTTATTTGTAGCGGGTGGGAACCATGTAAACTATCAGTAACCAAGCTAACTTACCGCAATGAGCGGCTTGTAACATACAGACGACGGCGACCTTTTCATATAATACCGATTGACACTATAGAAGCCAGCAATGAACTTGTCAACCAAATGTACTACTGCACCTGCGCGAAAGAATCTTAATTATGTCGCTGTTCTTCCCAGAAGAAGTGCTCATCACTATGCAACACCCTTGGCCTCAAGAATACCCACCCCAACCCCCCGCTCCCCCCGTCTCTTTACAACGTCTCGCCGCGTTTCGCGTTCGATGAGCTCTGCAAGCATGCCACCACAGCCTGACACAACAGATCTCTTCCGATATACCAGCGGCCGCTGGCTCTGGGATGAAGAGCAGCAGCTACGAGACCGATTTTCGCCATTTAACGTGCTGGAATTACAAATAGTCGCCGCGCAGAGTGTCGGGGCAGAGACATGCACGGCAATCACAAAGTTGGCCGAAGGCTCGTTCAACAAAACCTTCAGGCTAGAGATGGGGAATGGCTCAACCGCGATCGCGAGAATCCCCCATCCGATCGCTGGGCCTAGATACTACACCACAGCATCTGAAGTCGCAACGATGGAGTTTGTGAGTACTGAACCGTAGACTCCCCAGTATGATAACAATACCTTCTAAGAAGACGAAATCCAGGCCCGCACAATCCTCGGAGTACCCACACCTCGCGTGTACGCTTGGAATGCAGACGGGAATAACCCTGTCGGATCTGAGTATATCATCATGGAGGAATCCCGCGGTACGAAGCTGGAAGATGTATGGGATGATTTTTCTCTCGAAGAGAAAATAGCGGTCATAAAGGATCTAGTCCAACTGGAGGAAAAAATGCTTCAAGTGCCACTGAATAGGTTTCCTCTAAGCCCCTAATCAAGTCTGATCTATTAGCATCTTGCTAATCATGACTTATAAGTTATGGGAGTTTGTACTATGCCGGTGCCAATATCAGAGGCGCCGTGCCCGCTGATACCTGTGCAGAGATATCTGCCGAGCTCAAAGACACAATCCGCCGTCGTTTCGTGATCGGCCCGATCGCAGAAAGGCACTATTGGTCCAAAAAACGCACAGAGATGGCCTTGGACCGAGGACCATGTGTGTATACAACCTTGCTTTTGTTCTCCTTTGCCGTCCTAACTAATGCCCCAAGGAAAAAGGGAAACGGCCACAGGAATATGTGCTCTCGCTAGCTCACCGAGAGGAGGCATGGATCCAGCGATACGCAACTCCAAGAGCCAAAGACAACCCCCTAGTGACTTCAGCAACGCAGAACTCTCCTAGCAGCCACATTGCCCTGCTACAGAAATATCGTCAAGTGGCTCCTTATCTGCTCCCAGCACATAATCCTGCTGTAGTGGCACCCTATATCTGGCATACTGATCTGCACGCGGGGAACATCTTTGTCCGTAACGGAAAGATCTCGAATATAATAGATTGGCAAGGGCTCTGGGCAGCCCCTTTGATCCTCCAAGCACGTCACCCAAGGCTCGTCGATTACAGCGGTAAAGTCATCCTGAAAGCCCCCGAGGACTTCCACCAGCTAGATCCGGCGGAAAAGACGCGGATCAGAGGCTCTATGGGTCGCTCGATTTTGCTCTACCTCTACGAGAAGCAGATTGCCAAAGAGCTGCCCCTACTGGATAAAGTCCTCCGATGGGACCACGGTCGGACAAGGTGCGAACCAATTCTGTTCGTGGGCGACACATGGGATGACGACCCTCTACCCTTGCGGGAATCGCTGATTAGGCTTGAGAGGTACGGAACGGCATGATTTTCCGCACAACCCGTCCTGTTCTATAGCGTGTTTCTTGGATTTCTTTTTTTTCTTTCTTCTTTCATTTCTTTTTTCCCATTTTCTTTTTCTTTTTTTTTCTTCCGCTAAAATCATCATTCTTGCAGATGCTGGAATGAATTAGGGTTTGACTTTCCCTGTCCGATTCATTTCACCGAGGAAGATCTTTGGGTCCATGCAGAGGAAGGTGCCGAGTGGAATAATGTGCAAGACTTCTGGAACTCCGTCGCGGGCGTCGTATCGAGAGATGGCTGGACCCCGCATCATCTATACAGGGATGCCATTGCGCTGTTCACCGAGCTACGAGATCTGGGCCTGAAAGCTATGGTGGGGAAGGAGAGGGATGCCCATTTGAAATCCAGACACAATGGGTCAAGAAGCATTAGCACTACTTCCCAAAGAAAAAGAGGGTTATAGTGCTATCAGCAGGCCAGGGACTATGTCGGCGTTCCTGGGTCATCCGGCCATTGACCAAGCCGGTTCCCCAGGCTGCACATATGGCTATCTTAACTAGTTTCGATTACTAAGGAATCAAGATAGTTATCGTTCTATATTATCTATCCCTGGGCTTTATTGAATCGCCGACAGTTTATGAGACTGGATCCTCTTAGGGCTCTAGGATAAGTCCTCTTGTATATTTATGTTTTTACAAACAATTGAATTCGATGCTTGGTCTAACTACCGAGATGGTTGAATTTACTCAGCTAACGTGGTTCCTAGAAGACCCATGTGTTTTCTTAAAAATAATAGGTTATTAAACCTCTACATCTTCCCATCAACAAAGCTCCAATATCAAAGCAAGCTCACAAGCCCCCGAATCCACGTGTCCTTTATACCAAACCTGTTAAATCCATCGATCACGATACTGCCTCCCGAGGCCTACTACCCTTCCAAAGTACAAAAAAGCCAACCTGCTACCCAACTCAATGTAAGAACAGATGTGCATTGAGAGCTCTTTCTTGTTCTTTTGGATGGGTGATGCAACAAAAGAGGCCGGTCTAAGCGATCAATCGCTGCGAAAAGCGAGACTTTGCTGCTTGCTGCTATTGACAAGAGATCTATACAACCCAAGGGGAGTTTCTCAAGGCATTACTGTAGTTTGTATAGGCTAGGTTACTAGATAGATCCCTAGGTCGGCTACTTGCCCGACAAGGCCACCGGGCCAGGAGATTCATAGACCCGCCGCCACCCGACAGAGCAACAGACCGGCGACTAGGTAATTTACCCAGACTACCGTACCAGCTAAGATGCAAAGAATTGGCTAAGCCAGCCACCAGACCTGACCTCCAGATAGTCCTTTGAGGTACTATACATAGATATTTTAGTTTGTTTCTGCTGTGGCAAAGTGCTTCGGCTTCACGGATGTTGCGCATTAAGAAGAGGGTCGGTATTTCTGATGAGTAATCCCGCTCTATAACCCAGTCGGCTTACTAGGCTACTTTATATATATTTATATCTTGGTTGGTTTACCTTAGTAACTGACTGACTACGAGCACCCAGGAATCAAGATTGTGTTCTATATCACCATTCATGAGCTTCATCAAATCGCTTACAGACTAGGCTTCATCACAGAAATTTCAAGATAAACCAATCCCATAACCAGAAAAGTCCAGCCCCCAAGCCACCCCTACACGAGGTCACTGAGCCATACCAAGATCCGTTTTAGGGTATAAAGCTCAAACACAAATAAAGAATGTTTTACCCTGTCACCGGTTCCAAACACTGATCTAACTCCGAGCTGTATAAACAATCGGCCTGTGCGGTGATTGGCCCCGACCTACAACAGACACTGAGACAAGTCCACCCATGCCCTACTACTCGACTCGTATATGCCTGAAACCCCCTGCAAGTACTGAGTGTAGATCAAAGAAAGATTCCCATTCGTGCAACCATAGATAGTAAAAACCGTATCCGCTCATCATGGACCTGAAAGCGAATGACCGATAGGAAAGAAAAAAAAAGTACAGACATCAATAATAACATGGAACCTGGAACCTGGCGGGATTCAATCCGGTCCGAAGATGAAGAAAAAAAAGAGTTTACATGCCACACAGTTACGCCCGCCCCGGGGATGGGAGAAAGAAACTAATATCGCGCGTCAACAAGGAAAAAGTCAACATAAGCTCTCTCTCCCCCGCTAGTTTGGTTTATCAATCATCATCATAATCCCCTCCCATCCGTACGTGGTACACCTATCGGAAGTCCTTCCCCGCTCCCCCCCAAGCCTCATTGCTCCTTGGGCTCGGATGCAGCAGGCGGCGCGACATCTGTCATCTCTGCATCGGCCTTGTCGTCCTGAGCATCGGACGCGGGCCCCGCCGACGCGGCAGCTGCGCCGCTGTGGTCGCCGTCCGGTCCATTGATCCAGGATCGGAACCGCTGGTTGGACTCGTCCACCTGATCCTTGCTCAGCCCGTGCGCCCAGCTAGGGTTGTTCACCAGCTTCTCCATGAACCGGTCCCGCCGTCGTTCCTTGACGGCTGCGTCTTCCTTGGCCACCTCTTCGGCGGATTCGTCCGTCGAGGTGGTGGGCCGCCACCACCAGTCAGAACTGCCGGGCTCGTACAGGATGTGGTAGCTGTTGGCGCAGATGCGGATGATCAGCCCGTCCTGGTGCACTAACGGTCGGTAGTACCGGTTGTACTCCTCCTCCTGCTCCAGCTTGGCCGGCAGATTCCGCTTCAGGAATGGCATGCGCATCTGCGAGAACGCCACGCCTTCCGTCGGATCACGCATGGTATACGCCGACACGTAGTACGACCAGCGCGCTTCGGGGCTGAGCTCCTCGTTCTCCAGCGTGGCGTCCTCGGGAGTCAACAGCTGCACAGCAGCCTTCTTGCTGCCAGGGTGCTGCAGAGATAATTAGCACGAATACCTGGAAATAAGATTAGAAACACTTACGTAGGTAATGCGGTACATGTCTCCATCCTTCACCAGCCGCTCGACTTGCTTGCGGTACTGGATCTCTTGGTTGTGCGTGGTCTCCTCCCGATCACGCTCCTTGAAGAAGAGGTTCATGATATCAGAGCTGCGGTCCTTCGAATCGCCGCTGAAGATGGCTCCCGCGAATTTCGAGATACCCGTGAACATCTTCTCCAGGTTGTACAACTGGTACCCACTGCGCAAGTAGTACCGGCGCAGCGTCTCTTCCAGATGCGTGGTTTCCATGTCACCCTTGATCACTTCCTCGCACATCCGAACGATCTGTTGGTAGAAATTGGCCTTCGGGTCGCAGTCGTAGAAGAAGTCGGTGGGAAATTTGTCAATGAGGTTAAGCTCCTGCGCCGGCTTTCCGACCAGCGCACGCCGCACATCGTCATGAGCATCCTTTTCGTGCAGCTTGATGCGGAGCAGGCGCGAATACAAGATCTCAAACGTGCGGAAGAAACAGTAAATGTTCAGGTTGGCATACAAGTGGTGCACCTTCTTTTCGTACGTTTCGTTGAGGTTGTACTCCCGTTGCTGGTTGAAGTTACCTTGTCCCGGATGCTCCATCCATTTCAACTCGGCCACGTCGAACGACTCGGCGGGGTCAGGGATCGGGGTCGAGGGAACCAGAACAGCATCAGGCGTGCCATCGCGACTGTTCGGAGCACTCCCTTCCTTCTCGGCCCGATGGACCTTCTCACCGGCACGTTCTAAGACATCGCGGAGAAGGCCCATCTTCTTTCCGGCACCGCCCTTGCGACTGCGGGGAGTGGAAGCATCATCCGCAGCCAGACTCTCATCATCGCCCTCGTCGATCGGCGGCGTACCGCTCGACAGTTCGTTCATGTAGACATGGAAAGTATCACGATCCATACCGAAGAATACTGGAATGAAGTCTTTGATGAAGGTCATCACCCTTTGAGGATCGGCTCCGAACCCAGCCGAGTTCCGGTCGATGAAGGTGAGCAGCAGGTGTGTCGCATCGATTAAAACAGCCGGATCCGCAAACGTGTACTCAAACTGATGTCGAGGGACTTGGTACCCGCCCTTGCGCAGGTTTCGACCCTCTTCAAATTTGTTCTGGATTTCAGTCTGGATGTGTTTTGCCACAAAGAGCTTCTTGTCGGTACCCTTGCTGGCGATCGCTTGGTGATCCAAGCTCCGCCAGTAGGCCTTCTGCATCTGCTCGCGCCAGATTTTATCCCATTCGCGCTGGCTGGCTTTCCACTCTTCACATTTCTGTTTCAGGCGGAAGAGGATGATGGGCAGAACATGACACGGCCTCTCGAACATCTCTTTAATGATTTTCTCACCACGCTGGCGGTCATAGATCTTCTTGATCACACGCTGATAGATGGCTTCACTCTGACCGCCCAAACCAGGGGGCAGTTTGAAGGCGGCCCGCTCCGCATCGGTCATTACAAGGAATTGCTGCACAATCGGCTCGATGAGCTGGATTGTGCGCGTGCAAGCCTCGATATGATGATCGTAGTCGTGCCGATCTTCTTCAATGCGATGCAGAGCATCCTCGAATTGGTTCTTACGGTGAGCCACGAAGCCAGAGTCCTCAGACGCCCACGTGGGGTGAGAGGCCCATTCGTCGTTCAGAACACTGTAACACAACTGATCGCGGCCACTGCAGGGCTTCTGCCGTTCGCGCTTTGGCAATAATCGGTAGCTCGGCCCAAGGGAGCGGCAGTGTGAGAGATTGACCACACCCGGCTCTTGTTTCGCCTTGACATCAACAATCTTGTCTTCAGGTTCATCAACATGCATAAAGCGCTTGAACCAAGCCATGAGCTCGGGGTTGGCACCAATGTAGTTGGCAGCTCTCTTAACGAGAACGTGTCTGTCGATCAAGTCCGTAGAGTAGAGATTACAGAGCTTGAGAAACTCACTGAATGTCTGCTTATTCCCAATATACTTCTTCACCCGATCGAAGAAAGCGAACTCCTCTTGAGTCGGCGTCAACGAGAACGAAGGTTGTATGGGCTCAGGAAGCGCAGGAACAAGGGTTGGCGACACAGCTGGCGCCTCCGCATGGGACGGTTTATGATGGACCTTGGCTCGCTTCGTTGGGTCAGCATGTATCGCGCAGCAATATCAGAAAGCATGGCATTATGAAAGTGAATTCAGAGGCGGTCACAGAACGTGGATCTTTGGAGGCACATTTGAGAGATGAAGATCAGGGTAGCGGTAGGCTCAAAGTGAAGCGTAACTTGAAACAGAAGCCTTCTCACCTTGTTAGCAGCACCAGGCTGCATCGCTGGAGCTCGACCAGCTTGAGATTCGGCCATGCGAGCTGCCTCAGCAGAAGGTCCAGAAATCGACGAGCCTATGGTGGAGGGAGCTCCAGGCCCACCCCGCCGTTTCTTGCCGTCCTTTGCGGTGTCCTTGACGTTAAACTGGCCCAGAGGCGGCATCTTCACATCACGGTTGGGAGTTTGTGAGGGAAGATTAGTAGCGCTGGGATAGCTGGCTTCTCCGCGAAGGTTGCTCGTAGGAGCAGCCTCCTCCGCCTGGCGCGCAGCGGCCTGCTGTTTCGCATGAGCAGCCGACTCAGGCAGAAACTGCTTGAAGTCCTCCAGCAGATCCGGTGCCGTATTGAACAGCTGGGTTACCTGAGCGTACACATCCTGAATTGGCTTCGATTCACGCTGGTAGGTTTGTAAGATTTCGAGGAACTGCTTGTAGATCTCAGGGGCGCTTGCGAATCGATTCTGTTGGGGAGGCCCCGATGTTAGACGATGTACTGATGACGAACGTCGAGTGCTGTCATGCTTCTCTCTCACCTTGATTTTATTGACATAGCTGATGGCATGGTTGAACTCCACGGGACCACGCTTGTTCAAGTCGGCCTGGGCGCCTTGAAGCATTCCCGTTCCGACCCCGGCTAGATTGTTCATGGATTGGTTAATATTAGGGCCCTGGGCAGAGGGTCCAGCCATGTGCAACAACGAAGGTCTACCCAAGCCTGCGGCAGTGGCGGAGGGAGCCCCTTGGAGGTGAAGGCCACGCTGGTCTGCCTGATGGGCCATGGCTGCTGCTCCCGCCGCAGCCTGCTGCTCTTGTTGAGTCGGGAAGTCGAAGTGATGATCCTGGGGCTGGTTCTGTCCACCCTGCTGT